AGGCGCGCTGCAACTTCTGTTATCAGAATCCGAATATGAACGTTTCAACTGATAAACCATTCCGGGTCTTAATTGATTGTTCACGCTTACGGTGGCTTTCAGACCGCATCCATTATTTTCGTCTCCCCCCTCCTCTTTTCCGAACATAGATGGACTCGTCCATCTGAACAAACTGTCAAAATCGCTCTCCGTGGTGCTCACGTTAAAAAACACACGCCACTTTTTTCAAATTTTCTTGCTGTGGTTTTCACACCTGATGATGATTGCTTGTGTTGCAGTCGAAGCGTCGTGATAATTTTATTGTTTTATATTTTTATGATTTTATTGTTTCCCTTCTACGTGACTTTACCGAAAGAACCAATAACAGGTCCCTGCAGGGTGGGCTGGTAGGAACATTGGAATTTTGCGCACTTTTATTTTTACACCCCAACAGCACGAGATTTCACTTCGTTAAAGTATTGAAAGGGGACGGACGGACGGACACATTAATCAGAATCAGAATCAGAAAGGGTTTTATTCGCCATGTAAGTTCACACCGACACGGAATTTACTTTGGCAGGATGGTGCATACATTCAACATATAGGAATCTAAAATCTTAAATAAGTTTTAAACAAGTCTTACTATAATAAGGGTTAAAAGTCTAACACTAAGGGGCTGAAGTATATAAAATTAAATAAATATCGAATATAAAATAGCTTTAAGATATAATTTAAAAATACAAATAGGGAAACATAGTTAATATCAGCAACGTGTCGTTATGTAGATCAAATGTTAAAAACAGTGTTAGCCCTTGGCCTTGTTTAACAGGCCAGCAGCAGATGGGAAGAAACTGTTTTTATGGCGTGAGGTTTTGGTCCTGATGGACCGAAGCCTTCTGCCGGAGGGGAGTAGCTGAAACAGAGAGTGTCCAGGGTGGGAGAAATCGGCCATAATCTTCCTCGCTCGCCTCATAGACCTTGTCGTGTGCAGGTCCTCGAGGGTCGGTAGATTGCAGGCAATTACCTTCTCAGCAGTGTGGATGATACGCTGCAGTCTGCTCTTGTCCTTGGCAGTGGCAGCAGCGTACCAGACGGTTATGGAGGAGGTGAGGATGGATTCAATGATCGCTGTATAGAATTGCACCATCATTGTCTTTGGCAGGTTGAATTTCTTCAGCTGCCGTAGAAAGTACATCCTCTGTTGAGCTTTCTTGGTGAGGGAGCTGATGTTCAATTCCCACTTGAGGTCCCGGGAGAGAATAGTGCCCAGGAAGCGGAAGGACTCTACAATTTTTACTGGGGAGTCTAACAGGGTGATGGGGGTGAGTGGTGCTGTATTCTTCCTGAAGTCCACAACCATCTCAACTGTCTTTAGAGCATTTAGCTCTAAGTTGTTCTGGCTACACCAGGTCACCAGATTGTCAGCTTCCCACCTATAGTCAGACTCATCCCCACCAGAGATCAGCCCAATGAGGGTGGTGTCATCCGCAAACTTCAATAGTTTGACGGACAGATGATTGGAGGTGCAGCTGTTGGTATACAGGGAGAAGAGCAGAGGGGAAAGGACGCAGCCCTGAGGAGTTCCGGTGCTGATGGACCTGGAGCCAGAGACTTGTGTTCCCAGCTTAACGCACTGCTTCCTGTCAGACAGGAAGTCTGTGATCCATTTACAGGTGGTGTATGGCACGTTCAGCTGGAAGAGCTTGTCCTGAAGCAGGGCAGGGATGATGGTGTTGAAGGCAGAGCTGAAGTCCACAAACAGGATCCTGGCGTAGGATGCTGGGGCGTCCAGATGCTGTAGGGTGAAGTGGAGGGCCATGTTAACTGCATCGTCCACAGACCTGTTGGCTCTGTAGGCAAACTGAAGGGGGTCCAGGAGAGGGTCTGTGATGGCTTTGAGGTGTGCCAGGACCAGGCGCTCAAAAGACTTCATTACCACAGATGTAAGGGCGACCGGTCTGTAATCATTTAGTCCTGTTGGCCTTAGCTTTTTGGGCACAGGGATGATGGTGGAGGACTTGAGACAGGCTGGTACATGGCATGTCTCCAGGGAGGTGTTAAAGATGTTGGTGAACACCGGAGACAGCTGGTCAGCGCAGTGCCTGAGGGTGGCTGGAGAGACAGAGTCCGGCCCGGCTGCTTTGTGTGGATTCTGCCTCTTGAAAAGTCTATTAACTTCTCCCTCCTGAAAGGAGATAGTCGTCTCTGTAGTATTGGTGGGGGATGGGGCCTCTTGGGTTGGAAGGGGTGGTTCAGGACAGTCCAATTGTCTTTCAAATCTACAGTAGAACTCGTTCAGGTCGTTGGCTAGGCGGGAGTCGTTAGTGGTGTGGGGGGCTCTGGGTTTGTAGTTGGTGATCTGCCTGAGCCCTCTCCAGACAGAAGCAGCATCGTTTGTAGAGAACTGGTGTTTTAGTCTCTCTGAGTACAGTCGTTTAGCCTCTCTCACCGCTTTGCTAAACCTGTTCTTCGACTCCTTGAATCTGTCTCTATCTCCACTCCTAAACGCTTCCTCCTTCTCCAACCTCAACCTTCTGAGCTTTGCTGAGAACCAGGGCTTATTGTTGTTAAAGTTCACCCTGGTACGTGTTGGGATACAGCAGTCCTCACAGAAGCTGATGTAGGACGTCACAGCCTCTGTGAGTTCATCTAGACTATTGGTAGCAGTCGTGAACATATCCCAGTCAGTACAGTCTAAGCACGCCCGCAAATCTTCCACAGCCTCACTGGTCCACTGTTTAGATGTCCTCACAGCAGGTTTACAGAGTTTTAGTTTCTGCCTGTATGCAGGAATCAGGTGGACCATGGCATGGTCAGAGTGTCCTAGTGCTGCTCGGGGGACGGCGTGGTAGGCTCTACTGACTGTAGTGTAACAGTGATCCAGAGTGTTCCCTTCTCTGGTTGGGCATTTAATGAATTGTATGTATTTGGGGAGTTCGTGGCTGAGATTACCTTTGTTAAAGTCGCCAAGTACGATAACCAACGAATCTGGATTTGCTCGCTCCACACTCAGAATCTGATCGGCGAGCATGCGTTGGGCCTCTTTAACCTGAGGACAAGGCGGCAAATAAACTCCGACCAAAATGAGCGACGCGAACTCGCGAGGCGAGTAAAACGGTTTACAGGTTATAAAAATTGATTCAAGGAGTGGAGAACAATGTTGCAGAATCACTGTGACATCTACACACCAGCCACTGTTAATGTAAAAACAAATACCACCGCCTTTCGTCTTGCCGGAGAGTGCTATGTCACGATCCGATCTTACAAGATGGAATCCTGCTAGTTGTAGCGAAGTGTCCGGAATCAAATCACACAGCCATGTTTCCGTGAAGCACAATGCAGAAGCTGAAAGAAAGTCTTTGTTTTTTACCATCAGTAGCTGAAGTTCATCCATTTTGTTGTACAGTGAACGTACGTTGGAGAGGAAAAAGCTCGGAAGCACTGTTCGGATCCCGCGTCTGCGTAGCCGTACTAGAGCCCCCGACCGTTTACCCCTTGGGCGGCGTTTCGTTGCTTGAGCAAAGCCTAGCGCGGCATTGACTAGAATGCCTACTAATTCTGCCGCTGGAAGCAGAAAAGTAGGAATTAAATCCACAGGAGTTGTTTCCCTGATATTTAAAAGTTCGTCTCTTGTTAGAGAACTCCGAAAATCTTGGCAAAACACTGAATTGACAGACAAAACAAGACAAAACAGGGCGCACCGACCGGCTGAGGCTACCATCATCAGCGCCATCTTCGCACCAGCACGGGTGTGCTGAACAGCAAGACTCCCTCACCAGCACTGGTGTGTTGAACAGTAGGCCCCTCTCACCAGCATGGGAGTGGTGAACAGCAGGCCCCTCTCACCAACACGGGTGTGATGAACAGTAGGCCTCTCTCACCAGCATGGAAGTGAACAGCAGGCCCCTCTCACCAACACGGGGGTGATGAACAGCACGCCCCTCACACCAGCACGGGTGTGATGAATAGTAGGCCTCTCTCACCAGCACGGGTGTGATGAACAGCAGGCCCCTCTCACCAGCATGGGTGTGTTGAACAGCAGGCCCCTCTCACCAGCACGGGTGTGTTGAACAGCAGGCCCCTCTCACCAGCACGGGTGTGTTGAACAGCAGGCCCCTCTCACCAGCACGGGTGTGCTGAACAGTAGGCCCCTCTCACCAGCACGGGTCTGTTGAACAGCAGGCCCCTCTCACCAGCACGGGTGTGCTGAACAGTAGGCCCCTCAACACGGGTGTGCTGAACAGCAGGCCTCTCTCACCAACACGGGTGTGCTGAACAGTAGGCCCCTCAACAGCAGGCCCCTCTCACCAGCACGGGTGTGCTGAACAGCAGGCCCCTCAACACGGGTGTGCTGAACAGCAGGCCTCTCTCACCAGCACCGGTGTGCTGAACAGCAGGCCCCTCTCACCAACACGGATGTGATGAACAGCAGGCCCCTCTCACCAGCACGGGTGTGCTGAACAGCAGGCCCCTCAACACGTGTGAGCTGAACAGCAGGCCTCTCTCACCAGCACGGGTGTGCTGAACAGCAGGCCCCTCTCACCAGCACGGGTGTGCTGAAAAGCAGGCCCCTCTCACCAGCACGGGTGTTTTGAACAGCAGGCCTCTCTCACCAGCACGGGTGTGCTGAAAAGCAGGCCCCTCTCACCAGCACGGGTGTGTTGAACAGCAGGCCTCTCTCACCAGCAAGGGTGTGCTGAAAAGCAGGCCCCTCTCACCAGCACGGGTGTGTTGAACAGCAGGCCTCTCTCACCAGCAAGGGTGTGCAGAACAGCAGGCCCCTCAACACGGGTGTACTGAACAGCAGGCCTCTCTCACCAGCACGGGTGTGATGAACAGCAGGCCCCAAAACAGCAGGCCTCTCTCACCAGCACGGGTGTGATGAACAGCAGGCCTCTCTCACCAGCACGAGTGTGTTGAACAGCAAGCCCCTCTCAAGACAAAACAAGACAAAACTGGACAAAACAGGGCGCACCAACCGGCCGAGGCTGCCATCATCGGCGCCATCTTGCAGGTGTATATCTATTGCAGGCTGGTACACTCAGTTTACAACTTCGTTCCTACCAGTATCATTTCAACTGTAGTAGTTCTGCAGGCGGGGTTGGCGCACCCCCCGGGGAACATCCCTGCGAGGTGGCCAGCAGATGGCAGTACAGCATGTGGGCTGGCGACCCCGTGACCTCGCGTCGTCTCGGCGTGCGTTCCCCTCCGGGCGCCGCGCCCATCTCCATCCCTCCTCGCAGAGCGACAGTCATCGACGTCGCACGCAAGGGCACCGTGGAAAATCCTCAACCAGGTTGGCGTCTACTCCCGCCCAGTTCACCCACGGTGGCATGGGGGGGGGGGGGTGGGTGGGGGGGTCGGTGGAAATTCCCACACTCCCATAGTGGTGCCTCCACCATCGTACGAGACCAGCTGAGCTTCGTTTGGAACCGGGAGGAGACTCGGTGGTGCCGCCCGGTCCTGAGCCAGGAGCCGCCGCCGCCGCCGCCGCCCGGGGGGATCGCCCGCCACCCTCACACCTCGGGGGGCGGCGGCTTCAGAGCGGGCAGCTGCCCCTGGCCCGACTGGCCCAGGGCGGAGATGACCCTGGCGCCGCCCCTGAGCCGGCGCTCGATGTTGGGCTGGAACAGGAAGCCCGACGCCCGCTCCAGGCTCTCGAGCGGCACGAGAAAGCGCTCGCGCGGCACGCTGCTCGGGATCGGCTCGTTGGGCATCACGAACGCGCGCAGCTCCACGTCGCCCCCCTCCGCGTTCTTCTGCAGGATGAGCAACTGTGGGGGGGAGAGAGCAGAGAGAGACGGAGGTGAGGAAGACAACAGGGAAAAGAACGGAGAAGGGGAGAGAGGCAATGAGATGACGGAGAGAGAGAGAGAGGGGACAGAGGGGGGAAAGATAGGGGAGGAGGGTGGTAGAGATCGAGGGGATATGGAGAGAGCAGAGAGCTGAAGAAGGAGCGAGAGAGGCAAAAGGGAAACAAGGAGTGAGGGAGAGGAGAGATGGTAGAGGGGAGAAGAGGACGAGACAGAGAGAGGAGAGAGGGCAGAAGCGGTTTATTTTGAACAAGAGGTCTCATTGAGCCGTTTTATTTTGTCTCAACTGCATCCCGTTCGTGCTCCCAGCGTCGCGTCACGAGCCGAAAGAATCCATCCGAAAATCTCACGCAGCAGTGCGACCCCCTGTGTGTGTATGTGTTCGAGAGGGGCCCACGGAAGCAGACGCCACAGAGCTAACCCCGAGATCCCCTCAGGTGACCTCCGGTCCACACATTAGTGGGCGGCACTTTCCCACCAGCTCTGCCACGGGCAGCAATGTTCGTCACGTGACGGTCAAACGTGTATTTTGAATTCTCAGGGCTGAAATTCAACAAAAGTTAAGTGGCGAATTAAAATAAAGATTTTTGCTTACGCAGTTATTGGTCGCCCGGGGCTCAGTGCATCAACTCGCTCCACTTCAGAACCCGGTTTCATCACAGGCAGATGCTGAGACCCGGATTCAAACGGCAGGTTCTCAGCGGTGCCAGCTGACCTCTGGAGTTGTTGTGCTATGAACAAGCACAGCCGGAACCCTCCCTCCACGAGCAGATATGCGATAAGCCGGCGCTACCCACAATTGCCCAAGCTCTCTGATGGTCCTCTCTGGTAAGATGTTATCAGCCAATTGATTAATATTTACACGTGGGAGGAAAGCAGGGCACGTGGAGAAAACCCACACACGTGCGAGGGGGAAACACTCTATCCCAGTAACACGTGGCGTCCACATTTTGCCGTACCGGCTTGTGGCGAGCCGTCTTACAGCTCCCTCTTCAATGCCCACGGGCCCGTAGGTTCGTAACGTCTGTGTGCGATCCACCTAAACCCTCGCTGCCGACTCCACACAGCGCTGGGTCACAGGCAACCACGTGCGGCGTAGTCTCCGCCACCGCCCGGCTCGTAGAGCTCTCCCTACGGAAGCGGCTGGAAGGTGCACGGGAGGGGGGAGGCCATCGCACCTTGAACAGGTGCGTGGGCACGGCCACCGTGTTGGGCCCGATCACCTCGTAGCGCACGTAGGTCTTGCCATCCACCTCCCTCCTGCACGCCGCACGCAGCCGTCATCACTCACCACCACCGGCACCACCACCGGCACCACCACCGGCACCACCACCATCGCCGCCACCACTACCGCCGCCACCAAAGAAAAAAAGATCCCCCGTTTTGCCTTAACAGGCTGTTGGGGGGGCAAGTGCTGTTAGCGAACACCTATGAAGGCCGGCACGGCACACGAGGGGGTGGGTGGCCAGCACCACGCCCAACCGTCTTTGTCTCCCCAGTGGCGATGTTTACACACCGCACCAGGTACTCATTTGAGGCTGAGTCGACCTAGGGGAGGCCCAGGACCGGTTCAGATAATAATCGTCACTGGTGTTAGCCGTGAGCGGGAATCGAACCCTGGTCGCCGGGTTTATAGCGCAGCGCGCTAACCGCTACACCACCGCTCCCGCCACCACCACCAGTGCCACCACCATCGCCACCACCAGCGCCGCCACCACCAGCGCCGCCACCACCAGCGCCACCACCACCACCAGGGCAGTTGTGGAGAGAGTGGAGAGTTTCCAATACCTTGGCTCATGACCGGCTCCGGTTTAACAGCAAAGGCCTCACTCCAAATCAGTCGAGCGGCATTATCATTTCATCGGTTGCATAACGCTGTGTGGAAGCTACCTGGTCTCTCGCTCCACACGAAGCTTCGAGTCTTCTCGGCCATGGTCATTACCTCCCTTCTCTACGCTTGCGAAACGTGGACTCCCCTAATGGAACATCTTCGCCGGTTAGAAACATATAGGCTAGCCTGCCTATGATCCATCCTGGGTTTAACCAGGCTGGATTGTGTGAGGAGCTCACAAATCCTTGAAAGATCTGGGCAAGGTCCCATCGGTGAGCTCCTCCGGCAGGCAAGGCTGCGTTGGCTGGGTCATGTAGCCCGCATGCCCAGTCACCGCATGCCTAAACAGCTTTTGTTCGAGCCGGATAGAGGGGGCTAAGCGGGCGCAGCACGGGCTAGGGAAGAGATGGAGTGATGTGGTACTGGAGGACGTGGAGCTGAGTGGACTTGCCGATGACTGGTACCAGCGGTGTCAAGATCGGCCTCTGTGGAGGAGGCTTGTGAAGGACGCTACTAGACAGTAGGAGGCAGTCGCCCTCTAACAACAACGGAGGGCGGAGGAGCCACGCTCACAACAACGAGCGGAGCGCCGGGTGGCTAAAGCACAGCAGGTTGGCACAGTAGGGGGCACAGGTGGTTCATCAGTCAGTCGTCTCAGTCAGTCGACCTGTGGCATCTGGGTCTGCCCCGTGACCTCCTGCCAGCGGGCGTTTGACACTTCACGTGGCCTCAAGGTGCACATGGCCTGGCACAAGCGTCGTAGTGACGTCACTACGACAAGCGTTGTAGTGACGTACACACACCGTACACACACGTGTGTGTGTACAGTATGTGTGTGTATGTGTACGGTGTGTGTGTGTGTATGGTGTGTGTATGATGTGTGTGTGTGTGTATATATACAGTGTGTGTACGGTGTGTGTGTACGGTGTCTGTGTGTATGGTGTGTGTACGGTGTGTGTGTGTGTGTACAGTGAGGGAAAAAAGTATTTGATCCCCTGCTGATTTTGTACGTTTGCCCACTGACAAAGAAATGATCAGTCTATAATTTTAATGGTAGGTTTATTTGAACAGTGAGAGACAGAATAACAACAACAAAATCCGGAAAAACGCATGTCAAAAATGTTATAAATTGATTTGCATTTTAATGAGGGAAATAAGTATTTTACCCCTCTGCAAAACATGACTTAGTACTTGGTGGCAAACCCCTTGTTGGCAATCACAGAGGTCAGACGTTTCTTGTAGTTGGCCACCAGGTTTGCACACATCTCAGGAGGGATTTTGTCCCACTCCTCTTTGCAGATCTTCTCCAAGTCATTAAGGTTTCGAGGCTTACATTTGGCAACTTGAACCTTCAGCTCCCTCCACAGATTTTCTATGGGATTAAGGTCTGGAGACTGGCTAGGCCACTCCAGGACCTTAATGTGCTTCTTCTTGAGCCACTCCTTTGTTGCCTTGGCCGTGTGTTTTGGCTCATTGTCATACTGGAATACCCATCCACGACCCATTTTCAATGCCCTGGCTGAGGGAAGGAGGTTCTCACCCAAGATTTGACTGTACATGGCCCCGTCCATCGTCCCTTTGATGCGGTGAAGTTGTCCTGTCCCCTTAGAAAAACACCCCCAAAGCATAATGTTTCCACCTCCATGTTTGACGGTGGGGATGGTGTTCTTGGGGTCATAGGCAGCATTCCTCCTCCTCCAAACACGTCGAGTTGAGTTGATGCCAAAGAGATCCATTTTGGTCTCATCTTATCACAACACTTTCACCCATTTGTCCTCTGAATCATTCAGATGTTCATTGGCAAACTTCAGACGGGCATGTATATGTGCTTTCTTGAGGAGGGGGACTTTGTGGGCGCTGCAGGATTTCAGTCCTTCACGGCGTAGTGTGTTACCAATTGTTTTCTTGGTGACTATGGTCCCAGCTGCCTTGAGATCATTGACAAGATCCTCCCGTGTAGTTCTGGGTTGATTCCTCACCGTTCTCATGATCATTGCAACTCCACGAGGTGAGATCTTGCATGGAGCCCCAGGCCGAGGGAGATTGACAGTTCTTTTGTGTTTCTTCCATTTGCGAATAATCGCGCCAACTGTTGTCACCTTCTCACCAAGCTGCTTGGCAATGGTCTTGTAGCCCATTCCAGCCATGTGTAGGTCTACAATCTTGTCCCCGACATCCTTGGAGAGCTCTTTGGTCTTGGCCATGGTGGCGAGTTTGGAATCTGATTGATTGATTGCTTCTGTGGACAGGTGTCTTTTATACAGGTAACAAGCTGAGATTAGGAGCACTCCCTTTAAGAGTGTGCTCCTAATCTCAGTTCGTTACCTGTATAAAAGACACCTGGGAGCCAGAAATCTTTCTGATTGAGAGGGGGTCAAATACTTATTTCCCTCATTAAAATGCAAATCAATTCATAACATTCTTGACATGCGTTTTTCTGGATTTTTTTGTTGTTATTCTGTCTCTCACTGTTCAAATGAACCTACCATTAAAATTATAGACTGACCATTTCTTTGTCAGTGGGCAAACGTACAAAATCAGCAGGGGATCAAATACTTTTTTCCCTCACTGTGTTATGGTGTGTGTACATCATGGTGTGTGTTTGTGTACGGCTGGCGAGCGTGTAATGCGCGGTACGGGGGCCAGGCCACTGTGCTCACCTGGGCAGGTAGAGAGGCCCAGTACACACGTAGACGTGTGCGTACTGCTTGGTAAGGCCGCGGCAGTACTGCTCCAGGTCATTCCACGCGTTTTGGTTCATCTGAGGGTTCTGCAGCACGCACACACAAAGAGCAGCTATCATCATTGTTGCCGCTCCGCTCGTTTATCCAACAAAAGTCTCGCCGAGTCTCAAGACTCGTTTTCGGGAGGGTCCTGCCAAGTTTTCGCAGTCGGGCGGCGATGTTTTCTGTCCCTTTGTGTAATCCCGATCGAGGGACCTGCAGTGTGATTCTTCGGCATTCCGGGATGTTGTTCGGCTTTGCGTTAACTGCGTGTCAGCCGACTCTGCGTTGCATGACATTACATTTACAAAAGATTTGCTAAATTTCGTTTTCTCAAACTATTTCTCCCTCTTAAAAATGTACCAGCCTCTCTTAGGGCCATTCGACCATCTTCTTCTTTCCCTCGGTTGCTTCGGGATGGATTCGTTGACATGCTAATTTCTCTGCTCCAGCAGCAGCCACCAGCAGACACCCACCTCTCTCTCTGCCCACCCACCCCCTCCACCGTCTCTCCATTTAAGGCCTCGACACAGAGGCATTGGGTCTCTGTGTGTCTATGTTGTGTGTCTCTCTCTGTGTGTCTCTGTGTTGTCTCTCTCTGTGTGTCTGTGTTGTCTCTCTCTGTGTGTCTGTGTTGTCTCTCTCTCTGTGTGTCTGTGTGTGTGTCTCTCTGTGTGTCTATGTTGTCTCTCTCTCTGTGTCTATGTTGTGTGTCTCTCTCTGTGTGTCTGTGTTGTCTCTCTCTGTGTCTATGTTGTGTCTCTCTCTCTGTGTGTCTGTGTTGTCTCTCTCTCTGTGTCTATGTTGTCTCTCTCTCTGTGTCTATGTTGTGTGTCTCTCTCTGTGTGTCTGAGTTATCTCTCTCTGTGTGTCTGTGTTGTGTGTCTCTCTGTGTGTCTGTGTTATGTGTCTCTCTCTCTGTGTGTCTATGTTTTGTGTCTCTCTCTGTGTGTCTGTGTTCTCTCTCTGTGTCTATGTTGTGTGTCTCTCTCTGTGTGTCTGTGTTGTCTCTCTCTGTGTGTCTGTGTTGTCTCTCTCTGTGTGTCTATGTTGTGTATCTCTCTGTATGTCTATGTTGTGTCTCTCTGTGTCTATGTTGTGTGTCTCTCTGTGTGTGTCTATGTTGTATGTGTCTCTCTCTCTGTATGTCTCTGTGTGTGTCTCTCTCTGTGTGTTTGTGTTGTGTGTCTCTCTCTGTGTGTCTATGTTGTGTCTCTCTCTCTCTGTGTCTCTGTGTTGTCTCTCTCTGTGTGTATATGTTGTCTCTCTCTCTGTGTCTATGTTGTGTGTCTCTCTCTGTGTCTGTTGTCTCTCTCTCTGTGTCTGTTGTGTGTCTCTCTCTGTGTGTCTGTGTTGTCTCTCTCTCTCTGTGTGTCTGTGTTGTGTGTCCCTCTCTATGTCTTTGTTGTGTCTCTTTCTGTGTGTCTATATTGTGTCTCTCTCTGTATGTCTCTGTGTGTGTCTCTCTGCTTGTGTGTCTCTCTGTGTGTCTCCGTGTCTGTGTTTTGTCTCTCTCTCAAATTTAGTTCGACCTGATGACGGTTGCTTGTGTTGCAATCGAAACGTCGTACTCTGTTATTTAATTTATTTTCTTTCTATGTGACTTTACCGAAAAAACTAAAGAGTTGTTGTTGTTGTTGTTGTTTTAGCTACGGGTGTAAACCGGAGAACCCAGACAAACCCCACGCAGAACGGGGAGAAAACATTCAAACGCCACACAGAGAGGCGCCAGAGTCGGGAGTCGAACCCAGGTCCATCATGCTCCGAGGTGCGTGGGTTCCATCCTGACCCCGACGCCTGTATATTTGGAGGACGCATGTTCTCCCCATGGTCACGTGGATTTTTTTTTCCGGGTCCTCCGGTTTTCCCTTCCACATTTATAATCAATGTCACTCGTTTAGGGTATTTGCCTGCTATAAATGTCCACACGATAAGGCCGCAAATTTGAGCGATCATTTTGTGGCCAGGTCGCTTCTGAAAAAGGGCATACAGCTCAGTGGGCCTTACCTGGTAAAATAGAAAATAGTGTAAGTTATGAGACCTCCTTTGCCAGAAACAAGATATAGGAATAGGTTTTACCCTTTTAACTGGCACAAAAACTGACACCTTTATTCAAGTCATCATGTTTGCAATAACCACAACACAAGCAGTCAAAATGCAAACAAAAAAAGACAACTCTGATAATAATATGCACTGTCCTTGAATTTGATTGGTCCACACCCGAGACAGCTTTTCTTAGAGCCTAGTCTCCATTGGTGTTGGACCAGAAGACGCCAAAAGGCGTACAACTTTGTACAACTTTGTACGCCTTTTGGCGTCTTCTGGTCCAACACCAATGGAGACTAGGCTCTAAGAAAAGCTGTCTCGGGTGTGGACCAATCAAATTCAAGGACAGTGCATATTATTATCAGAGTTGTCTTTTTTGTTTGCATTTTGACTGCTTGTGTTGTGGTTATTGCAAACATGATGCCTTGAATAAAGGTGTCAGTTTTTGTGCCAGTTAAAAGGGTAAAACCTATTCCTAGTGTAAGTTGTGCCTTCCAGTACAAACAGTGCAGTGAGAACAGGCAGTACAGGCGAGCTCTGATCCAGCAGGGGATGGACAATGGCTCAGCGGGTGATTTTGGACCATTTTCTAGTATTTCAACCATTCGGTTCAATTTCAGACCATCATTCCAGGCACTATAGAATGAGTACCACTTGGCAGCCTTTGAAAAGTGGAATTTTTCACCGCTGCCTCAACGACGCCGGCACCACGCACCATGCAAGTGCGCCGGGTGTGCCATTAGCCCGTGTCAAAAAAAATAGTGCCTTTGTACTGTTTGCTTTTTGGCCTTCTCTTGTCTAACACTGGCGACAAATGGTGTAGGCCAATCAATGTCAAAGGCAGTTGCATATATTACCAGAGCATTTTTTGTTTGTTTGCATGTTCGCAACAAGTACCTGTGGTTAATGTAAACTTGACGCCTTGCAAAAGGTTTTTTGTTTTTCCAACATCTTAACACCTGTTTTATATTGCCAGAAAGAGTAAAACCTATACCGATACTCGCAACAAGTTCCCATAGATGCATCACCCCGTCGCCGTCACCCAGTCATCGTGTCACCGCGTCACCACATCGCCGTTACCCCGTCACCATCACCCCGTCACGGTCACAGCGTCACCACGATACCATCACCCCGTCACGGTCACAGCGTCACCACGTCACCATCACCGCGTCACACTCACCGTACTCCCCCCCCCACCCCAACGGTGTACCTGTGGCACAATGTTGGTGAGCAGGAAGGTGTCCCGCATGGCCTCGCGCGATGCCTTGTGGTTAGCCGCGGCCGCCATGTGTCCCCGGTCGTAGCCGCTACCTCGGAAGTCGATGTTGGTGGCGCGGTGGAATGCGTGCACGCTCTCGTCCTCTGCCAGACACACGCCACGCTCCACCGCTAGACACGCCGCTCCCAACCAACTCGAGGGGCATAGCTGGAGGGGTCGGCTCAGGACTATAGGGGTCAGTACAGAGCTACAGGATTCGGGTCACGGCTATAGGGGTCATGCCAGGATTACAGAATTCCGGACAAGGCTATAAGGTTCAGGACAGGGCTACAGGATTCGGGTCAGGGCTATAGAGTAGAGGACAGGGCTACAGGTTGCAGATCAGGCCTACAGAGTTAGGAACAGGGCGGCAGGATTTGCGTCAGGGCTATAGGGGTCAGGACAGAGGTTGGGCTGAAGCTACAGAAGCCTCCGGGTTAGTGCTGAGGCTCTTCCAAGCCACCGCCATCACCCCCCCCCCCGCCCACTCCCCTGCTCACCGAGGAACTCGCAGTCCTGCCTCGTGGCGTCTCCCCGCAGGCCGGCCGAGTCGAGTTTCTCCAGCACCCAGGCGGGCGTGCGCGTACGCGCGTCGTACGACACCAAGTAGGCGGTGCGGGAGCGCAGCTGCGCCACGCCGGGCAGCCCAAACGTGGACAGCTCCGCCGCGGTGCTGGGGACCGTGCGGCACAGGGGGCACACGAGACGCGGACACACGAGACGCTCACTCAGCACGAGACGCGGACACACGAGACGCTCACCGCGTGTGACACCCCCGTAGTGCACCCTCCCGTGTGGTACTGACCACGTGACACCCCCGTAGTGCACCCTCCCGTGTGGTACTCACCACGTGTGACACCCCCATAGTGCACCCTCCCGTGTGGTACTCACCACGTGACACCCCCATAGTGCACACTCCCGTGTGGTACTCACCACGTGTGTGACACCCCCATAGTGCACCCTCCCGTGTGGCACTCACCACGTGTGTGACACCCCCATAGTGCACCCTCTCGTGTGGTACTCACCACGTGTAACACACCCATAGTGCACCCTCCCGTGTGGTACTCACCACGTGACACCCCCATAGTGCACCCTCCCGTGTGGTACTCACCACGTGTGACACCCCCATAGTGCACCCGCCCGCGTGGGACACCCACATTAGACACCCGCGTTGGGACCACCCGCGTGTGACACACCGCGTGCGATACACCGTGTGCATTGACAGTGCTCGGATGGACGTGCGCGTAACCGGTGCCGTAGGGCTATTTTTTACAGCAGAGGGCAGTCCAGCCGAAGCCATCATCGTCTTACTGCACTCCGCCCCGACATCTACGGCCACCCGCCGCCTTCACCGCACCGGCAAGCGTGGCGGACTCTGCTTAAGTAGTCCCCCGTAACCTGCACGGCATGGCGAGGCCCTCATCCAGCAGTGGATCGACAGAGGGGCTGTACGGCACGTGCTCGCACGCCTCCACACGACGACCCGACGCTGCCCGCTCGCCGCAGCGGCGACGACGCTCGCGCGCCTCGCGGCACGAGAAAGCCGCCCGGGTTTGATTCCTGACTCGGGTGCCTCTCTGTGTGGGCCGTTTGTAGGTTCTCCCCCTGTTCTGCATTGGATTCCTCCGGGTTCCCCGGTTTGGCATTCGTAGCTAAAAACAGCGGCACACAATGTGGCCGGCATTGGACAAACAACATCCCAACGCTGTAGAAACTGCACTGCCGTTTACTCAATTGGAATAATACAGCGGCAACTCCGAATAGGCACGGTGGGCTACGTATGGTGGGAAAGAAGTTCAACAGAAACATGCGTACGTATGTCACGTCGCCCCCTACTGCGAAAAAACTTGGCAGAACCCTCCTGAAAAAGTGTCTTGAGACTTGATGAGGCTTCTCTGGGTGACCAAGCGCAATCACCATTATTGATAATAACGTTCGCCGCCGCCTCACCGGCTTGCCAGCTGCCCACCGCCAATGGTTGCCGCGTGAACGCTGGGCACGGGGAGCACCGAGCACTGCCAGAGGTCATCCTAGGGGTCACACGGGCACGCAGAAACACATGCGAGCGGTGGCGCAGAGGTTAGCGCTACTAACCCAGCGACCCGAGTTCGATTTTCACTCGTGACCAGCTCGGTGTCGAATATCTGAAGCGGTCCTGGGCCTCCCCTAGGTCGACTCGGCATTAAATGAGTATCTGGTGCAGTGTGTAAACATCAGCACTGGGGAGACAAAGGCGGCCGGGCATGGTGCTGGCCACCCACCCCCTCGTGTGTTGTGCCAGCCTATATAGGTGCTCGCTAACAGCCCCAAAAGCCAGTCCAAGGCTACACGGGGATCTCTGTGGACACAAATTCTCCATGTTGCTCTACATGGTACTTGGCATATCATCTTGTCTATTTACAGATCAGTACAATAGCCTGCCTCTGTATATTTCACGTTTCTGTAACTTCATTTTGTGGCCGTGCTAAAAAATATTTTTTCCAAGCCGACTTATGCTAACAGAAATAATTTTTTAAACATTTGATTTTCGTTGGTGCAATATTTTCGATTTCTGATTCCTGCTTGCTTCGTTGCTGGACTTTTAACACGCACGCTTTCGTGAGCAATATTTGGGGCCGCAAAGTGCGTGTCGTACGCCCTCCCTCCACCCGACAGCCAACTGGACCATCTGTGCAAAAGAGCTTCACAGCTCATCGGATTCCTCCAGTATAAATACAATTTTCTGATTCTCATGAAGCCGCCACGTGATAAAAACGTGCCAAAATTCTGCCTACTGCCCGATAACGCTGTCTGCAATCCCGCCGCTGACCGCGGCAATAAATCGGCGTGTTTTTGGTCGCACGCGGAAACTTTTTATTTAGTCGCCGAACTTTTGTTTTTTTGCTTCTTCGTCACATCGGTGACCCAGGTCGGCTCTTGCAAAAACGCGACTCCATCCTGGTCTCTTGCGTTGTCGCCTGATTACACAAAATCAACTTGGAACTTGAATTTGTAATGTGCTTGCCCTCGTATCTATTAATCAACGTAATGATTCAGCCCCCCCCACTAACCACCACGACTCAATGAATTGACTCGTTGCTCTTCCACCATCTCGTTTTGTATTGCTCCACTGCCGCCCTGTGTGTGACGGAGCCCCTACCCACAGGGCCCTCACTGCCACCCTGTGTGTGACGGAGCCCCTACCCACACAGCCCTCACTGCTGCCCTGTGTGTGACGGAGCCCCTACCCACAGGGCCCTCAATGGCGCCCTGTGTGTGACGGAGCCCCTACCCACACAGCCCTCACTGCTGCCCTGTGTGTGACGGAGCCCCTACCCACAAGGCCCTCACTGCTGCCCTGTGTGTGACAGGGACATTACCCACAAGGCCCTCACTGCTGCCCTGTGTGTGACGGAGCCCCTACCCACAGGGCCCTCACTGCCGCCCTGTGTGTGACGGAGCCCCTACCCACAGGGCCCTCACTGCTGCCCTGTAGGTGTGACAGGGACATTACCCACAAGGCCCTCACTGCCGCCCTGTAGGTGTGACAGGACATTACCCACAAGGCCCTCACTGCTGCCCTGTGTGTGACGGAGCCCCTACCCACAGGGCCCTCACTGCCACCCTGTGTGTGACGGAGCCCCTACCCACAGGGCCCTCACTGCCACCCTGTGTGTGACAGAGCCCCTACCCACACAGCCCTCACTGCTGCCCTGTGTGTGACGGAGCCCCTACCCACAGGGCCCTCACTGCTACCCTGTGTGTGATGGAGCCCCTACCCACAGGGCCCTCACTGCTGCCCTGTGTGTGACGGAGCCCCTACCCACACAGCCCTCACTGCCACCCTGTGTGACTGAGCCCCTACCCACAGGGGCCCCACTGCCACCCTGTGTGACGGAGCCCCTACCCACAGGGCCCTCACTGCCGCCCTGTGTGTGACGGAGCCCCTACCCACAGGGCCCTCACTGCCGCCCTGTGTGTGACGGAGCCCCTACCCACAAGGCCCTCACTGCTGCCCTGTGTGTGACGGAGCCCCTACCCACAAGGCCCTCACTGCTGCCCTGTGTGACGGAGCCCCTACCCACAGGGCCCTCACTGCCACCCTGTGTGTGACGGAGCCCCTACCCACAGGGCCCTCACTGTTGCCCTGTGTGTGACGGAGCCCCTACCCACAGGGACCTCACTGCCACCCTGTGTGTGACGGAGCCCCTACACACAGGGGCCTCACTGCCACCCTGTGTGTGACGGAGCCCCTACCCACAGGGGCCTCACTGCCACCCTGTGTGTGACGGAGCCCCTACCCACAAGGCCCTCACTGCCACCCTGTGTGTGACGGAGCCCCTACCCACAGGCCCCTCACTGCTGCCCTGTGTGTTACTGAGCCCCTACCCACAGGGCCCTCACTGCCGCCCTGTGTGTGACGGAGCCCCTACCCACAGGGCCCTCACTGCTGCCCTGTGTGTGACGGAGCCCCTACCCACTGGGGCCTCACTGCCGCCCTGTGCGTACGTGCATGACGGGGGCCCCTACCCAGAGGGAGGCGGTGGAGCCCGTGGGCCCTGCGTCCACGCTCCCGTGCCCTGTGCGCCGTCTCCGCCGCTCCAGCCACGTGCCGAGGACAGTGCCCAACGCCACGGACAGCGCCGTGCCGCCCAGCGTGGCCCAGCGCCTCAGGGCTCCGTGCATCATGTCCGCGACTGCTCCACACACAGAAGACGGTGGCGGTGCCATCAACGCCTGCACCTTGCTCTGAGCGAGCTGTGTAACACGTGTTCTACGTGTGACACGTGTCCTACGTGTGACACGTGTAACACGTGTCCTACGTGTAACACGTGTCCTACGTGTAACACGTGTAACACGTGTCCTACGTGTCCTAAGTGTAACACGTGTCCTACGTGTAACACGTGTCCTACGTGTAACACGTGTCCTACGTGTAACACGTGTAACACGTGTTCTACGTGTAACACGTGTAACATGTGTTCTACGTGTAACACGTGTCCTACGTGTAACACGTGTAACACGTGTTCTACGTGTAACACGTGTAACACGTGTTCTACGTGTAACACGTGTAACACGTGTTCTACGTGTAACACGTGTAACACGTGTTCTACGTGTAACACGTGTAACACGTGTTCTACGTGTAACACGTGTAACACGTGTTCTACGTGTAACACGTGTCCTACGTGTAACACGTGTGACACGTGTTCTACGTGTGACACGTGTAACACAGCTCTGTCGTTGTTGGCGTCAACCAACAACCACGCCCGGCCGCCTTTGTCTTCCCACCGGTGACGTTTACACCACCGCTACCAGGAGTCGAACCAGAGGAACCGGTTCAGATCTCATCGTCGCTGGTCTTTGACCGTGAGCCGGAATCGAACTCGGGGGGGGGGGGGGGGGGGGGAGAAGGGGCCGGGTCCGCGGCGCAGCGCTAACCACAGCGCCACCGCTCCCCACACGTGAACACTCACGCGCACTGTACTCACGCGCGCATGCACTGTACTCACGCGCGCGTGCACGTGCACTCCGCGTACCGCAGCAGCGAGGTTTCTCAACGGATACACTTTAATTACGGGTGTTTAATGATGATGGAGTGGTGAGTAACGAGGTGATGGTGAGTAACGAGGTGGTGGTGAGTAACGAGGTGGTGGTGAGTAACGAGGTGATGGTGGTAACGAGGTGCTGGTGAGTAACGAGGTGATGGTGGTGACGAGGTGATGGTGGTGACGAGGTGATGATGGTAACGAGGTGATGGTGGTAACGAGGTGATGGTGGTAACGAGGTGATGGCAGTGACGAGGTGGTGGTGAGTAACGAGGTGATGATGGTAACGAGGTGATGGCAGTGACGAGGTGGTGGCGGTGACGCGGAGGCGGTCGCAAGATGGGGGCAGGGCCGACCTTGACCCACTTCCGGCGTGACGTCACGAAAGGGCGTGTTCGATTTGTGCGTGACGTCACGCGGAGGGCGTGCACAGCGAGTCCTCGTTTAACGCGGTAGATGCGTTCCTGAAAAGTTCCGCGTTCAGCAAAAACGATTTCCCCCGTAAATAATGTAACGAGAAACGATTTGTGGTTGATACAATGTACTACTGCTCACACACAGTAAGATGGCGGGACAAATATTGTAGGGTACGCCGCCGCGTTACCGTATCATTCCGAGCATTGCATCGTACGGCTCAGCCGTGCAACTCAAGAAAGTAGTCCGTCGTCGACCGCTCAGGAACTCCGTTATAGCGGCACGCGTTATAACGGGCATGTTATAACGGGTGCGTTGTGCATTGTAAGGGGTGCGTTGTGCGTGACGACGGGCGCGTTCCACGTTGCGTGAAAAGCATTCCCAAATGGAAGATCCGCATTACTTACCGGTATACGTACATACATACATACAAACATACAAACATGCATGCTTGTTTGTATTTATGTTGGGGGAACACACGGAGGAGCGAACATCCCCGATCTGTTAAGAAACAATGAGTGGCCTTGGCCAACACACCCCGCTAGAAGGGATGGCCTGAGGTCGTGACTGATGTCGGAGTGGCAGCTAAGGAGCGTGAACCATCACGCGAGCTCCGGCCATCCTCGCACGGCTAACCATCGAACAACGGCGGTCACCGCATCGTGTGGCGCTTTCAGATGCGCTTTTGCGGCCATCTGAAACGCTCTTCCTTCCGACATTAGGAAGCCGCTGAAGCTGTTCACTTTTACATCTGGAGCGAAAACGAATTTCTCTCGAATTGCTCATTGTGTTTAGTTTGTTGTCCTTCCCCCGCACCTCCAATTCACACGGTTGGCTACGTACGGTGCGAAAGACGTCCAACATACACACAGCTAAGGAGTGGAACACGTCCGAGATAGCATCTGCAGAAGAGACGGAGCGATGAGATCAGCTTGCATGCCTGCGTGGATCGTTACATCGCAGGACATTGAGAGGTGACGTCGGATTGGTGAAACCTTCATCCAGCAGTGGATTAACCATGGCTGATGATGATAATACACAGCTGTACGTAGAGCCGAATGCAATTGTAGTGTCAGTGACTTCGGAGATGAGGTTTGTAGAGGCACACACTCTATGGTCGCTAGCCTATAACACAACACGAGCCGTCTAACAGCGACGGCGCTGACGAAGAAAGCTAACAGGCAATCTCGCAGCACAATGTCGAGCGAAGACGGCAGCGATGATGGCAACGAGACGACAGCAACGACGAAACGAACCAATTCCCAAAACCGGCAGCCTCGAGCTCCCCGCTCTCGGCCCCTTTCATGCTTCCAGCGTGGCCCGGCTCCGCCCTGGCCACGCCTCCCTTCTCGAACCCACCAGCAGGTTCCAGGGGCTTCCAGATGGGGCCCTCCATGGCCCTTGCCCCAGTTCCTCCGTCCTGCCGACACAGCCGTGTATATGTTCACCGGCGTGTGTACTGTTTGTCCACCACAATTGCCGGTGCTGGTCACCAGCCGGCACTATTGCACTACAAAATCGACGTCATTTCCGATGATGTCAGGGATGAGGTCGCGGATTAAACGAATTGCATGTGCCTTGCTCCCGTGTAGCCACATCATAAACAAGGAGTCCCTGCCACATATCACCGATATTTTAAACTATTTACTACTACTACTTTTGTCGTGTCTTGTAAAATCACTCTGACTGACACGTTGTAACAGGTCACCTGCTTACACTTTATTCGCCTATTCTTGCACCAGTTGTAGGCACTCCTATCACTGTCGCTACGGTCACTTCTGTTTACCAATTCCCACTCTAATCTACGCTACACCTCACTAACCTGCACACAGCAGCTCTTGCTCTCAGCAGCTCCGCACTCAAGGCTTTGCACACAGCTTTTCTCACACAGAGGCTTGCACACAGCTTTGCTCACACAGAGGCTTGCACACAGACAGCAGCGCTCACACAGAGGCTTGCACACATCAGCACTCACACAGAGGCTTGCACACAGCAGCACTCACACAGAGGCTTGCACACAGCAGCACTGACACAGAGACTTGCACACAGCAACGCTCACACAGAGGCTTGCACACAGCAGCGCCTGTCAGGCCATCAATCACCCCTTATCGCACGTCTCCCTGGCAACACCTCCGGTGTCAGCGTGCAACCCCGGGCCGACCCGGTCTGCACCTGCTTCTCTTCCAAATTATGTGGCGGTTTGCCCGTGCAACGTTATGTTGCACACGTGCCCGTGTTTGTCCTTGGTTGCCCTCGGCCAACAGTGTGCGCCGCGTGTTTTACCACACTGCACTCATATTCTACCAGGTAAGGCCCACTGAGCTATGTAGCTCTTTTTCATAAGCGACCTGGCCACAAATGATAGCTCAACGAAGTGGCTTATCACGTGGAAATGTATTGCAGCCAAACACTCTAAATGCATATTTCTAAAACGTGAACGGACAAACCGGAGGACTCGGAGAAGAATCCGCACGACCACGGGGAGACAGACACGCAAACTCCAAATATACAGGTGGAGGTGTCGGGATCGAACGCACGTGCTCCTGCAAACCAGGCGAGGTAGTTCACATCTCGCCACCGTGCCCGCCCCCATATAACGTGCTCAACACGAACCGGGTGGGCTGGCGGTTTAATGGCCCCGACAGAAGCGGGGGATCCCAGCGCGCCCCACCGTGTCTCCGCAGGACATCCGAGTTGCTCCATGCAACCCTCACCTCCCCGGCTGCCGAGACCTCACGGACCCCATAAACGATGCCGCCCACGCCCTTCGTCGCACGCCGCCACCGCGCGCGTGCTGTTGAAGCGCACGGTGGCGGCCGGATCGCGCGCGCCTCCATCGCCACCTGCAGCCCCGCCGTGAGGACCGGGCACGGTTTCGTGGCGCGGTTGGCCATGGGCGTTCCGGTGCCAGGAATGATATCCCCGTCCCAATCGCCCACGCCCTTCGCGAACCTGGGGGCCCCCTCTGGCCCTTGGGCCCCGGTGCAGTTCAACCACGTGCACACACTTGATAACTGCACCTCCGTGAAGTGTAAGGCTCGTCTTCTTCTTCTTCCATGAGGTATATTCAGAGCAACAATTAGGGATTCGTTTTACAAGCGGCTTAGCCATTCAGTTGTTGTTTTTGCCCGGCAGCTGGGACGCCGCCGTGGCGAGATGTTAACTACCTCGCCCGGTATGCAAGAGGTTCGTGTATTTGGCTGCCGTTACGTCTCCACGTGATGCGCCACTTCGTTGAGCTGTCATTTGTGGTGAGGTCGCTTCTGAAAAAAAATTATAACTAAATAGCTCAGCGGGACTTACGTGGTAAAGTAATAATAAAGAATGGCACACCCAGCCACGTGAGTATTTAGGGTGGTGGCGCAGCTTTCTGGTTCATGGCTTGGAGCTCGCAGAAGCAGCGATCCCACCGCACAGGAGCAGTGCCAGATTATCCTAGTAGCAAAAGTAGCTACGTATGCTAACGGGCCCGCACTTTCAAGGGCCCTGCGCTAAGGGTCCGTCCATAAATGACGTCACGAACCTAGGGGTGGGGGGGGGGTCAGCCATTTGTGACGATGTGTGACGAGGAGGGGGGGGTGAGAAATGTGACGTCACGTAAAAATGCACAACTTTAAATAAATATAGACAACACGTTCTAATTATATTCTTGGTTCTTTCGGTAAAGTCACGTAGAAGGGAAACAATAAAATAATAAAATATAAAAATATATATTTTATATATTTTTTTATATGAATCCCTGCAGTCATGAAAGCTTTAAATCAAAACGTTCTACTTAATTAAATATACTTTTTAATAAATGTTTTCTGCTGCAACATCAGAGTGCAGCGCCACATTAAATACGCACTACAATGACAATAGTTTAAAGCGATTTGAAGCATTTTTTATTTATTTTTTGTGGGGGAGGGGGCAGAGCTTTGTGACGTCATATTTGAGGGGGGGGGGGTCTGACTTTTGTGACGCCGTGTGACGAGGGGGTGGGGGTCAAAAATCGTCCAAAATCGCGTGACGTCATTTATGGACGGCCCCTAAATGCTTTCAAGCTATCAATTCTGGTTCAGTGATTCTGCACTTGCTCTATTACTACAGTACTATACTACCTTCAACTTTTACGAACGACTGGGTGTTTAAGGTTAGCGATTTGTCGTATTATCTGGCTGTATAGCAAATGAAACAATACAGTTATTTTACTATGCAATTAAAAAAATGTGTTTTTATATTTACGTTTTTTTTTTAATTTAGGGCCCCTTTATAACTTATGCTAGAGGCCCCGCACGAGCTTAATCCGGCACTGCACAGGCGACGCGGATCTTTGATCTTGGGAGCGAGGGCATCCTTAAGTCGCGTCATCTCAACTTCAAATCTAGATTCAAACTTCCAATCTAGATCGAGGCTACCTCGTGTTTGGCCTCTTGAGCCGCAACGCGGGCGGACTGCTGCCTCGCCCCGCAGAGACGCATGGGTCGGACGTTGTTTTAGAGATCCCCCGATCCGGAATAAGCCAAAATAGGTGACGACGCAGATGTAATGCGGGACGGGTTTACTTGGCGCTGTCACGGGCGACCGGGCCTGATGCGAGCAACTCGTGCGGCGGACACCGGCAATCCTTTTTAATCACGGGCCGCTGGAAACCTGGATGCCAACCCAGGTGCTCGTGATGACCGACACGGCCGTCACGAGCCCAAGGCATTCCCCTGCCTCCCACAAATCTCATTTCACGCCACGCTTTCGCGACCGCGCGATGCCGTGGATGTTACGGCAGCCGCTAAACCGCGATAGGAAGGAAGAAAAAAGAAAAACGATAAGTGGCGGTGACGTCAACACGGCGCGTGTGCCAGGCTAGGTGCGCCTTGAGCATCCGTCACGCACCACTCGACCGGCGCCACCGCTGGAGGCTGGCGTGAAACGTCACGAAGGTCCCGGGCTTGTGGTCGGCGTGGCGGCGTTGTTCAGGTCGAGCCGCCCCTCGGGT